TGAGTGATTTGTATATCAATATTCTTTTTGAATGTATGTTTTTATAAACATTCAAAATTGTTGATATTATAGTACTTTTTAAAAACCTATTCGACATAACATAAAAAAATAAAAAACTTTAATTATGATAAAAGATTCTCAAGTATGAAAATTTATTCTTAATAAACTAATATATCTTTTAAAGAAAATGTTATGATCATTATTTTTGTTTAATGAGTTTAATGAATTAAATTAGGTTATTATTAAGAAAAGACTTTAATGATATGTCATGCCAACTAGGAGAGAGAGTGGGGCTTTTGGATTGTTAAGTATATTTGGAGAAAAATATTGATAGTTGAGTGATATTTTGATCCTAAATGAAATATAAATGACAAATCAAGGCAATTTCCAAAATTTGAATGACCATTTAGAAAATCGACTCAAGAATATAATTTAATGAAAATGACGGTTTAGAAAAATTAAACAATATTTCATATTCAAAAGAACTAATAAAAATCATTCATAATTTAAAATATAAGGATAAATATCAATAATTGCATAAAGTTGGAGAAAATATGTTTTGAACTATTTAAAAAATGAAAATTTAAAGAATTAACTTTAAAAGTGTCAATCCAAAATACAATGTCAACAACAATCAATTGATTTAAATAAAGGACCATCCACAAATTTCAAGAAAATTAATATTTGGTATCACATAAACTAATCTAGATTTTTTCAAATTAAAGAGAAAATCCATTTAAAGATATTTGGTAATTCTTTTCACGTGCACCCAATGCGGCTCACTAGTGTTATACATATTTTTCCTCCAACTCATTACACAATGTTTGTAAAGATTTTTTTTTAAAAAAATCTAATGAAAGCAATATCACCAAAATATTCATGTTTAAAAGACATAAAAAAATTAAAAAATTCGCCTAATTCGATATACAACCAATGACTTACATCAGTATGGAACGTCTCAGGAGTTTTACCACCCACCTGTCCAAGCGAAATATTACCTTTCTATATATATATATATATATATATATATATATATATATATAT